TTTATTAGTATTTATTATAATTGTTTAATTATAAAAGTGATACATAGTCTTTACTAAAACTTCCAAACATCAGCGAAATATAGAGCACAGAAAGTTAAAGTTCTAATCCACTCCCCACTCTCCCACCCCACTCCCAAGATAAAAACTGTTACCAAATTTACAAAAATGGCATTTTTGTTGCAAGTTTCAGGCAAATGTCTGTTTCTTTAGTTAGAGCATGTGAGGATATGCTGCACTTTTGAAATGCCTGGTAGTGATATATCATTCTCTCCTTCTGGTATTTTGCACTAGATAATGCACAAATATTTCTCATGATGGGAAATAAATCCTCAATATCATCGCTGCTCACTTAACAGTGACTTGAAACTACTCACAGGATAAATCTTAGAAGATGACTGTATGCACAGATAACCAAAACTAAGGTCAATATACATTCATTAATGATCTGAGGGTTCTGTTTAGTTTTGGTTTATTTTGGTTTTGAGTGTATATTTGGGTAGTTGAGTGTATGCATTTATTAAGGTGTCTAAGGTGCTAGATAATCTGTTTTTAATCTAACACGTCTTTCCACATAGAGAAAGCATGGTGAGGCCTAAAATGCCCATGTAGCTGTGACTGTGCCAAACTTAGGTTTAATAGTAGGTCCAATTTTTTTATCCCTGCCCCTACCTCCTGCTTGTGCTATGAATTTTGACACACTAATTGTGAAAGGTAATATTATGAGAGATACCCAAGAAAATCCCAAATGTAGCCAGAGCCCTCAGCCACTACCATGTAATGATTTTTCTTTTTCATGGAAACAGATGACACCAATGGATGTATGGACATTGTTTTTAAGTAAGGTACGCCAAGGTCACTACAGTATTTCTGTGTTACAGTGAGACAGGATGAATTACACCTATAAATTCCTTACTCAAGGCCCATTGTTCAGAAATATTGCTTGCTGCTTCTTTTTTTGTTTTGTTTTTAAAAGAGGTTAGGGGAAAAAATGAAAACAGTTTCAAAATTCATGAAGCAAAACTGATAGAGCTGAAAGGAGAAATAGACAAATCCACAATTATATTTGGGGACTTTATTACTCCTCTCCCCAGAACTACTGGAACAGAACCACTACAAAGCAAATTAGTAAGTATATAGACTATTTGAACATCACATTCAACCTATAGGATCCAATCGGCAGGTACGGAACATTCCACCCAATAACAGCAGAATACACATTTTTCCCCAAGCATGCATGGAACATTTACCAAGATAGAACATATCTTACATCATAAACAAACTTCAGAAAGTTTGAAAGAATAAAATCACACATTATGTGTTTTAGAACCACAATGGAATCAAACTAGAAATCAATAACAGAAAGATAAATCTCTAAACATGTGAAAATTAAACAACACATTTCTTAGTAATCCATCGGTCAAACAGAAAGTCTCAAAGAAAATTAAAAAATACATAGAACTGAATGAAAATAAAGTATATCAAAATATGTGAGATGCAGTAAAGGCAGATCAGAAAGGAAAATTTATAGCACTAAATACTTATTTTAGACATGAAGAAAGTCTTCAAATTAATAATCGAAGTTCCTACCTCAAGAAACTAGATAAAGAAGAGTAAAACCCAAAGAAAGCAGAAAGAAGGAAATCATATAGATAACAGCATAAATTAATGAAATTGAAAAAAATGAAAACAATAGAGAAAATTCATAAAATAAAAAAGTGGTTCTTTGAAAAAAATCAATAAAATTGATAAACCCCTGCCAAGCTGACAAAAATCACCAGCATCAGCCATTAATTGGGGATATCACTACAAATCTGCAGCCATTAGAAAATGAGAGTGGGTTGTGCACAATGGCTTATTCCTATAATCCCAGCACTTTAGGAGGCCAAGGTGGGAGGATCTCTTGAGGCCTGGAGTTCCAGACCAGCCTGGGTAACATAGTGAGAGCCCTGTCTTTACAAAAAAAATAAAATAAAATAAAATAAAAATGAGGGAATACTATGAATAACTTCATGCACATAAATTTGACAATGTAAAAGAAATGGACCAAATCCTTGAAAACTACAGTCTACCAAAACTCAACAAAGAAGAACTAGATAATTGGAATAGCCCTATAGTCTCTAAAGAAATTGAATTCCTGATTTAAAATCTCCCAAAAAGAAATGTTCAGGCCAGATGGTTTCACTGGCAAACTCAACCAAATATTTAAAGAAGAATTATACAATTTTCACACAATTTCTTCCACAAAATAGAGGAGAAAGCACTTCCTGGCTCATTCTACAATGCCAGTATTATCCTATCACTAAAACCAGACAAAGACAACACAAAAACAAAATAAAACAAAACAAAAACCACGAATCAATATCTCTCATGAACTTAGATATGAAAATCTTCAACAAAATATTAGCAAATCAAATCAAACAATATATAAAAAGTACAGACCATAAGCAAGTATGATTTATTCCTGGTATGCAAGACTGGCTCAGTGTTCAAAATCAATCAATATAATGCATTATATCATCAAGCTAAAGAACAAAAGAATCATATAATCATATTACTTGATTCAGAGAAAGCATTTGACAAAATCCAACACCCATTCATGATAAAAACTCTCAGCAAGTTAGGAATAGAGGGTGAACAATTCAATTTGATGAATAGCATTTGTCAAAAACCTACAGCTAACATCACACTTAATGGTGAAAGACCGAAT